AATTAAAATTTTGGTAAAATTCATCAGAGGGCTAATCAAATGAAAAAATATTGATCATTATAAAGAATTGCACCAAAAAAACTACATAAAGTTGCTTTCTCGAAATGTAAAACAACTTTGCAATGGATTTGGTATTACTCCTAACTTGGATGCACTTCGGGTTGCTGTATATTCTTCCCGCTGGAAATTGGGTATCTTATAGATTAGCTTGATTTCATAGAAATTGGACATACTACGTGAAGCGGACAATCCATATCTTCTAATTAAAAAATCTCTATTTTTAAAATGATGCTATTTTCATTAGGATATAACATCACATGTGATTAGTTTTTTCATTGAAAAAATGTTTGTGATTTTTAATTTAAAAATTTTATTTTTTCGTCATGTCTTATTTATTAATTTGTATAATTTATTTATTTTTTTATTTTTTGACCAAATGTTTATGTAATTTTATCATTCGTGACCTGATGATGATGTCGAACCAGTCCATAGAAACGTCGTCATAACAATATGACGATGAATGAATTGTTGAATTGTTTTCATTTAATTATTTCTTGCTTGAGTATTCCACCTGAATATGCAAGTCAATTGCAGATCATTTTTCTCTTACAGTTTCATCGAACCAAAGATCATAAATAAATGGGAAACCGAATCACATTTGGGAAAATTATAAAGCAGTTAACTGAGTTAGAAATTGAGGGAATTCATGTGAATACTAAGAACTATAAAGGCAAAATTTACTTTGTGTTATTAGCTATCAGCGGTGATAACGAAGGATTTCGTTGATGAAAATTGTCAACCTTGTAAATTGTATGTAATTTTGAGACAAATAGTGTGTTTAATAAGGGCTTCAACCTTCAATGAGAAGTCTGGTTCACTTCTTGAAACTTTAATGTTTGAGCATCATATACCCTACGATAATAATTATTGAAAAGTCTAACTTAGCTTATATAATTTTAATATCATTAAAAACCATTTTTTGCAAAAAGTATTTTTTATTCCTGAATTAAATGTCAAATATGGGAAGAAATGAAGTCATCCAGAATCTTTCACTGTATTCACATCTTCATTTAGCGAATATTTTTCGAATTTTTTTTTAATTATATATATATATATATATATTTATTTCTTTGAAGTACCTCCAGGGTAAGATCATACTTGTTTGATTCGCCGATAACATTAAATGAATATCGTACTTGTTTACACGAATTAAATTTTTTTGAACATTGAATATATGTTGACAAGTTTTTCAGACGTAAAAAACAATGTTTAGGGTATCTAGAATATTCCATTTGTAATATTTTTTCCATAAAATTTAAAACATTCTTAAAAACACTGGATGCCAATTACGGTGAACAAATTTCGTATCCCACCGCATACTCTGGAGTATATTGTTTGATAATAATATGATTTTTTTTTATAAAAGAAGGTTTAAATCTTTTCAAGCTCTTCTAGATACCTAAGGCCCCAGATAACCACTGCATAGATAACAATAATTGAGACTAGAGATTTAAATAGTTTTTTTTACAAGTTGTGGCGAACTTCGCGAGACTTGAATATTTTTGAAAATTAAATAAATGAGGATAAGGGTTCGGCTGACGACAGTGGACACAAGGGTTAATGAATGAAATCTTCACGTATCAAAAGATGATTTTACCTATAGTTTGAATTAATTGAGCAATTGCAATATTATTGATAGACGAGACCAATAGATGAGATAGAGAAGATTGAGCGAACTTACCAAATGATGATCATTGAATAGCAGCTGTTGTTCTATAAATGATATTCCTAAGTGATGGAATCAAACACAATAAAAGAAAAATAATTAAAAAGTAAATATTTAATTAACTATAAAGCGCGTTACAACAATGCAAAAGGATGCTTCTCTCTGATGAAAATTTTCACGTAATCGTCATCGTAACCATAAGGCCATTCGTCTTTGGTCCGATGGGTCCGATGACATACGAATTTATGATTCTTTTAACGACCGGTGGTCGCAGTAGCTATTAGGCTAACACCTAGCGCGATAAATTGTGAATTGGGGAAACAATCAGAAAATGGCATGTTTAAAGAAAAGTAAGAAAACGATTTGGATCGTTACAAGGTTCCCAAAATTCTAGGTTCAATCTATTTATCAATGTAATTGTTGATCCTATTTCTAAATTCGCTTTTGACTCGGCGGAATCGTTGGTATTCGAAAATGTGGCCTAACAGCTGAAGCCAGGATTGACTTTTGGTTTCCTCAACTAAGTTGTTTACAATATCCGTTACTGAGTAAACAGATTGAATGTTAATATTGCCCTTTCTATATATCAAGGTATCGGGGATATACGATGTCAATTCCAAGGTTTTAAGTTTGGGTGAAGATAATAAAGAGTTGGCATCATCGATCCATTCGCAGAAGATCTCTATCTAATTTCTTCCACTAACGAATACCCTTCTATCCCCTTGAATTAATCCGGCTACCATTTTCCCTATTGCTATGAGGTCATGTCTGCCCAGATTTCTTTGGGAGTTGGTGGACTCCATCATAACTAAATAGGGAGGATCAAATATGAATCATTACCCTCCCCTAGGCGTTTTGTTTACAAAACTAGGTGCTAGCTATTGTTTACAACAATTTTGTTTGTTTAATTTTTAAAAATTCATCACTGATCTAAAAACTACAATTCTCTAAAGTTGCATCGTTTTCTTACCCCTCAGAATTTTTTTTATTTCAAATTAACTCAAAAAAAAAAAATCTATGGGAGGGTGCTGAGCGTGACTGCTAGCTTTAGCCAGCTCATTATTTTATACTAAACATTAACATTAACGTCTAAAATGTAAATATATAAAATAAACGTAAGATTTGATTATCATTAACAATTTTTTCTTGCTTTTATGAATAATTGCATAAAATAGAGTTAAGAGATTTGATTTATGAAGTGAATATTTTTCATAAACCCAATTTTTTCTGAGCTCTTTAATAATTTATAAATTATTAATTAATACTGTTTTACTGTAGATACATGAAGAGCTTCAAAGAAAAGTTGATACAGAGTGATTGATAACTTGTTCCACCTTTAATAAATGAATAACTTAATATTGTTTGGATGTTTTTGTATTTTTTATTAAGTGTAATTATATTTCTTTATGTTTTTTTTATCTTATATTGTTTTTAACTTTTTATGGCATAGTTAATATTTACCCTTAACTTACCTTTTTACCATGCACCCCTCAAAATATCACCACCCTTTTTTGTCTCGGTACTACGTTTATGACAGGCTATTACTCATTTACAGAATTGCATTCGAATTCCTTGCAGCGGTCAGAAAGTTCTTAAACTACTTACCTCCTTAATATGAAATTCCTTCCAGTGGTTAATTTAGGCAGCGCTTTAGTTAAATTCCTTCCTGTGGTAAGTTTGGTAGGAAATCTCATTGTTTGTCTAAATTAAATTATTTAATTATTTCTTTTTTATTATTTAATTTTTATTTAATTATTTTTAATTTTTTATATTAAAAACAGTTTTAAATTTAGTATTTTCTCAAGATTAAAAATATCTAAGTGGAAACAAAATTAGTTTTTTTGAACCCTTTCGTGACCCCGGGAAACCCAGACAGTAGATTTTATTGCAATTTGTTACTCGGGAGTTTTCAGGGTCTCTGATAACGAATCTAAAGTCAGATTTAAAAAAATTTTCAAATTCAAAATGTCGGGTTCAATATGGCGGACTTTTTTTTAAAAATGGCTCAAATTTGCATAAAATGTGTTACTCGGGGGCCTCGGGGGTTTTCAGGGTCACTGATTACGAATCTGAAGTCAGATTTTCGAAACTTAAAATGACAACCCTGAAGAAGCCCGATTAACAAGTTTCAAGCGAATATGATCAATTTTGAAAAAAAATGTCCACTAACTTAAATTTTTCAAATCTGACTTCGAATTCGTAATAAACGATCCCAAAAACATAGGAAAACAAACTGTTGTTAAAAATTATTTACTAAATGTTAATGTAATAAATAGTATGTTATATATAAGGGTTTTTATTAAAAACAGTCAATGTTCATTCTATTGTTTAATAAAAATATTACTACTTTTTGTAATTTATTATTTCTTTAATTGTAGCAGCGTCCATTCGGAATAGAATGAAATTTACCGCAAATTAATTGGTTGACTTTTATAAGAATTACATAAAATTTTCAAAGTGGGACATATATGTCCCGGAGGCACGAAAGGGACATTTTAAATAAAAAAATTGTTGCTGATAAAATTCGTTCTCGGTAATAGTTTGAAGTTTAAATCTTTGACAAAGTCAAGTGTAATCAGAATCCTGTGGTGGTTAACAACCATTCTATTTAAATGCTAAATATTTTTAAAATCTCTTAAATTTCGCCTAAACATTAGTTTAGGATTTCTAAAAGATCCTTTTTTTATTATCTCAGATAGGAATTGTCGAAATCTTTATAGAAATTTACAGGGATCATGAAATACGAATCCACTTGTATTTCAATTGAAGAATTTTCATCAGAGTAGTTGGTTGCCTCTTTTTGATTTTAATAGATTGAGCCGTCAAGGTCTCCGCATTGATGCGAGGCAAGATCTGAATTATATGGCTATGAAGAAGAAAGCGAAATGGATACGTGTATATGTAATTTATCACCAATCATTATAACTGTCTTTTTATTTTTTATTTTGATATATATTTTCTCTCTAGTAAAACCATTTTTTAACAAGGTGTGACGAGAAAAGTTTTCTCGTTATGACATATAAGAAGAGTTCGTTGCGGACAATTTTTTGCTGTTTTAGTTAGTTTCATAGTCGTTGATTAATATAATAATGATTATCCCCTGTATCCTTTAAGTAAAAAAAAAGAAAAGACTTTTTCTACCTGTGGTCGCGTGTAGTAAATGAAAGTATCCTGGCTCTTGCAAATTATAGAATAATATTTAGAACGATATTTTTCACTTGGTTGCTAGAGTGTATAAAGAAAATTGCGTATCTTCTATGTGGCTCAGTTCTCGTGTAGAGGTTTAACTCGATAGATACTTTAGAGAAGTTGGGAAAAATCACAGTGATTCAGGTCAATGTGGAATAAAAATTCGATGTGATCAAAAGAAATAAAGGATTAAACATCAGGAGTGATTTTTTGAAAACAATGTTTTTTTATCTTGTAAGTAATAATATCTGCAAATTTAGTATGATTTTCAAATCGAACAAAATTAAGTGGCGCTTTTTGTGAAAGTGATATATGCAGTGAATGCAATGGATTAAAGCTTCTGTACAAAAGCTCGAAATGATAGTTTTAAAATACATGGGATGTATGAAAAGTGCTTCAATTAAATGTTGTATTATTAGAAAAATTATGTGTAAAAAAGCATTTGTTATGGTATTACAAGAAAAATAATTTCTGTTATACTTTTCCGCTGATAAGTTGTACTCCCTTAAATCTGTTTAATTTGGGTGCGTAGCATTTTTGTATTTCATTAATTCACTAAGCCTTCTGATAGAAAACATTTTCAAGTATTTATTTACACACTAGAAGAGAAAATACCCTTGAAGTGAACATTATTAATTGTTTATTTTTCAAACTCAATTCAAGCGGAAGACAACCCATATTTTAATCAAATAGATAAACTGTACCTTAAGAAAAGATTAGAAAGGAAAAATGTTTTATTATTCTAAGTTATAATTCTCACTAATTTTTCTTTATTTATTTATTTATTTATTAATTTATTATTACATTTGCTTGATTATTATCCTTAGAATAATAGATAAGAATTAACAAATTTAGTAGAAGATAATAAAAAACAACAAAAGCTGAATTACAAAACAATTATTGCAGCAAATTCCTTTCATTTAGTTACAAAGCAACAAGTTTTCGAATCAAATCAAAATTATATACATAATAATTAAATTGAAAGACAAAACCGAATTGTAAATTCATTCATAAAATCTTATTACTATGATTTGAAAATAAGATCTTATCTCTTGATATAGTTTGACGCGTGCCACATTGTAACCAAGTGGTTCAGTTTGGAAACAATGTCCCTTTAAATTCAGACAAGAACATTCTTCCCATTCTTCCTATTCATATCACTTGTATGGTATGTACGTGAATGAAAATTGCAGACAATTAGATAAATTCTCACGTTCCTTCACTTATTAGCTTCTCAGAGCCGTATAAATGGATTTTAATTATTCTTTAATAATTATTTACTATTACTTTACTATTTTTATTGTACAAAAATTAATTATTTAAATTAAACGACATGCGAAGAAAATGTATTTTGAAATTAAAGATTTAAAATTAGTACCTTTTTTAGAATCCTAGACCCGGTAGGATAAATAGTTTTTGCAAAATTTCATTTGTTAACTTAAAAAATGGTTTCTTGAGCCTTTCGTCCCCCCGGGACATCATGTGTCCCACTTTGAAACATTTATGCTATTCTTATAAAAGTGAACCAATTAATTTACGGTAAATTTCTTTCTATTCCGAACGGACGCAGCTACAATTAACAAAATAATAAATTACGTAGTACGATTATAATTATTATAAACAATAGGTAAAATATTTATAAGAAAATAGCGAAATCTAATATTTTTAAATTTCCTCAAATTCGGTTAAAACTTCCTATTCAGGGGTTTTCGGGGTCGCTGATTACGAATCTTCAAGAATTCGCCTGATTAATTCGAAGCCATAAAAAAGAAGATTACGAATCTAAAGTCAGATTTTCAAAATTCAAAATGGTGGATATTTTTTTTAAACCTGCTCAAATTCGTTTGAAACTTGTTATTCGGGGGTTTTCTGGGTCACCATTTTGAATTTTTTTAAATCTGACTTCAGATTCGTAATCAGCGACCCCAAAAACCCCCAAGTAATAAGTTTTATGTAAATTTGAGCAATATTGAAAAAAATGTCCGCCATATTGGATCCGCCATTTTGAATTTTCAAAATTTTGAAAATCTGACTTCCAATCGCCAGGTTTCTCGGGGGCACGAATGTGTTAAAATGTGATTTCTAAATTTTTGTCCCAATGAAAATGAATGATTTTGTGTCTCATTCTCTTTATGAAAAACCTCATTTGATAAAACAATGGATTTTTGCAAAACAAAAATTGTTTCTTGAAAAGCGGGTAATCTGATACTAATGAACAATTAAATACAGCAGTAACAATTTTAACTTTAATAATTTGAGATATAACTGTCATTCGATTATAGTTACATTTTCCTGTAAATTTTAAAAAAGTTATTTTTTCTGATGTCGAAAAGTAGAGGACAATCGTTTTGATAATAAAAGTGTAAACGAAAGACAATTTGACGTTTCAAGTTGATTAAGGCAGCAGAGTGGCGGAAAATTGGTTAAGTAATTTTCTCGAGACAGAAATGAATATTAAACCTTTAAATTCGTAAGAGTTTGCGAAACTTTCGATATTTCTTTTTTTCTAAATGTAATTACATTTTCTCATGACTTCAAATTGTATAATTAGTTTTTTTTAAATGAAATTATCATTAATATTATTAAAATTAATAATTAAAAAAATTTATTAGTTCACAGAAAGGAAAATTATTTATGTAATTAATATACAATCTTCACTTTTTATTAATTTGCTACCTATATGAATAAATTATTCTAAGAAGCAAATAAGTTCAAGAACGTGGGAATCACCTTGTCTGTGAATGTTATTGTTAGGTAATTTGCACTCATATCCCATGAAAATAGTATAAATGGAAAGAATGCTTTTGTTTAAATTTAAATGTACATTGTTTTCAAATTTAACGGTTTTCTTACAATAAGGCACGCGTCGAACTATATCATCAGACAAGATCTTGATTTTAAGATATGGTAGTAATTCTTCTTCTAATTTGGATAAATGCTTATCTATTGATTTTAAGATATGGTAGTAATTCTTCTTGTAATTTGGATAATTGTTTATCTATCGGTTTAAGAATAATAATAAAAGTTTAATAAATAAATCATAGCTTATCTTAAATAATAATTAAAATAATGAATTAACAATTAAGTTTTGCTGACCTTTCTTATTGTAGTTTATTCACTAAATAGATCATCATCAATATAGTTTGATTTGGAATTTTAACAGTTAATTCTATTAAAAACCCAGGTGTAAAAGTTAACGTTAGCTAATATTACTAATGTTAGACTAAGATTAACTAACGTTAACTAACGTTAGATTAACGTTAGACTAATGTTAGACTAATGTTAGACTAATGTTAATTAACGTTATAATCTGATATTAGTGATCAAAAAATGTCGTTAGACTAACGTTAGCCAAATGTTAGTCTAACTTTAGTTAACGTTAGTAGCATTAGCTAACGTCAACTAACGTTAACTTTTCCACCTGGGAAATAAAATATTATTAATTAATAATAAATTGCAAATTTATACAAATCTATTAGATAAATCTCCATTGTACCTATAATTAGTCCGTCTAGTCTTTTATTATTCTTTACAAGAAACTTATTTCTTTAAGAAAATTAATTAAATAATCAACTCGAATGAATTGGTTATTTTCTAATCTAATTAATATTTAGGAGGGAGAGACTTATTTTCTATGTTGGCATTTTGATTGTCTATGGCAATGAAAATGACAGTCATGTATTCTTAATAGTTTTACGATTTTCCTCATTCTTAATACTCCTTAATGATCCAGATAGTGAGGATGAAGACTAATAAATTAGCGATCTTCTTAAACACTTTCGCCAGGGCTTGAGACTTTGTTAAGAAAATATACAATTTATGATCATTAGGTTAAAATTTAAATTATTGTTGATCTCCTAAATAACACAATTTTTGTAATATAATGGTTAATATAATTTATTAGGATTTCTCGTTTTATAGTTAGGGTTGAAAGCTGGTAACGGTAATTATTATAATAATTATTATAATTATTATAATTATTATGGTTATAATGTAGGAAATTATTTGCTGATTAAGAATATAATTATTTACCGACAACCATATCGGAATAATTATCTTAAGAATAACACCTGACTCTAAACCAAAGAGTTCAATTGACGTCTAATAGATGTCACTAATTGCTGATATATAGTCGAAATCTTCCTTAATTATTATGGTTATAATTAGTGTTTATCGTATTATAGTTAGGGTTGAAAGCCGGTAGCGATATCCCTAGACTATAGTCTTCTAAAGTACCTTAATGTTACTTTTCGAAAAATCAAGGGAGTGAAACTTCCGATTAAGCGGTTTTATATTGCCGTCGAATCGCTCTAAAACTTCAAGAACATTCTACGATTTTACACACCCTTTAAATATGTGAGTAATTCTCCTCTATATACTATTGATTGAAAAATTCTTGAGTCTCCCCATCTGTGAATTAAAGTGCGGTTTCCTCGCTTCGCGTGGCTATATCCTCATTTCTTCCGGAAATTCAAGGCACGTCTAATTGTCGTGGCCAATTCCGTTTAAATTTCAAGTCTAATTATAAAGATACAATGATTTCTTTCTCTCTCATAATCTAACGTCTCCCAAGAACAATGATATTGTATAGCTATCAATTACTTTTCTCTGTTATAAAATTAGAGCTTTTTAATTTTAATGAATTCTTTAAATAATTAAGTTATAACAAAAGTTTTGCGCAGTTATATTTTTGTTAATTAAACCGATGGATCGTAAAAGAGCATATAGCCCATTTGAATTACTTTGGTTATATGCTCTTCTACGATCAGTTAGTTCAATTTTTGACTTTAATGTCATTTTGTGTGTAAATTTAATTTATTGTTGTAAAAGTTTTATTTTAATTAAAAATTATTCAATTAATTCAATTATTTCAATTAATTCTTATTAACTAAATTCAGTGGCGTGAAAAGGTCCATTTAATAAAAATAAACAAAATTAAGAAAAACACTTGAAAAAATCTTAAAATTTTCAAAAATGTACCTTCTACTGAAAGCTTTCCTTGAGTTTCTCATTTATATGCGCTTTAAGGTTTTTATGGCTTTAAACTTGTTGCTCGCAGGTTTTTTGGATTACTTATTACAAATCTTGTAGCTGATTATTAAAATTAAAAATGGTGGATGAATTTTTAAAAAAGTTGATCCTATTCGCTTGATACTCTTTGCCCAATAATTTTTGGTGCGTCACTGATTACGAATCTTTCATCAGATTTTTAAAATTTAATATGGCGAATCCAATAAGACCTTAAAAGATGCAGTTTTTTTTCCTAATTTTGCATTTTATTAACCTAGGTAAAAAATAGTGGATTGTGCAACTAGTAAAGAAGCGGGGGAGGAATGTGACAAAATATATCTCGGTCAAAGATCGAGAAAGAGAGAGTAACGTCATATGATTTACTTTCGCTACTCTGTTGAGAAAAGTTCTACTTTCGCCACGCTTTTTTAAAAAAAATGAAAAGTATCTTACTTTTTAAAAAAATTTAATGCTCAAAATCATCATAGTAAAAATGATTTAATAAGATAATATAAATAATAAAACAATAAGCTTAATAAAAATTCATTATTTTCGATAAAATTATAAAATTGAAATTCACAGACTAAAAGAATAGAATAAAAATGTTAATGCTACAATAAAGAAATTAAAGTAATTACTCTTTTCATTAAAATTTTTAATTCAGAATAGTAACACTTACATATTCGTGCACCAGTAATAAAACGAAAGTTTATATAGTAATTTATTACTAAAGTGCAGAAAGTTGTATTCAATACATTAGAATTATTTATCGCCTTTTCAATTTACTGTTTGTACTCTATAAGAATTTATCTATTGTTTTGTGCCCTTTTTTAATACAGTATAGTGTTGTAAATAATAAATTTTAGAAATATTTTTAATGGAAATAGAAAATTTCCTATGGGAATGTGTAAAGTGAAACTTTAATCTATTTTTAGTTTAATAAAAGGAAGCTCGTGAATCAGTGTGGAACTTCATGAAGTTTTGGTCCCATGCACATTCAGTTCTTATTTGTATGACATGCGTGCTTGCTTACATTTTACTTTTCCATTTTTCATTTCTCTTCTAGGTCATACCCTTGACTTTCAAATGCAATTATGAATTATTATTCTTCAAAATTCAATGCAATGTTATTAGGGATGTATAAATGCTTTTTTAATAAGATTATTTATACAAAATATAAACATTAATTGTTTCCTTTGATTCATCAAATTTTTTTCTAAGAACATTAAATTGTATATTAAACTTAATTAATTGTAAATATGATAATTAATACGTTGACATGGTATTAGTCAAGAAGTAATTTTTATAAAATAAATTAATAAATAGTAACATTTAGAAAATAATATTAATTAAATAATAAATGAAAGATATTACAATGATAATGTAGAACAAGCTAAATACACTTTTAAATGTTAATTTTTTAACTTTCTGTCTAATATTTAACATAAAAATATAAATGCTCTGTCAACTTTTGGCTTAAACATTATTATCTCAAATGTGGACGATTTTATATTCACATAATCTTTACTCAGCTTTGCAACTGAATATTTCGAGGTTTGCCCTTTAACTTTTAATACACTTTGAGTAAATTCTCGGTACTGTGTGCCTGTGTGGGATGTCCACCGTATTGGATCTACCAATTTGAATTTAAAATTTCGTAATTAGATTCGCAATCAGCGATGCAAAAAACATGCAGACACCAAATTTTATAAAAAAAATCAACAACTTTTAAAAAGATGCTTCGTGTTCTATTTAGAGTTGTTTTTATCTGTAAAAACAGGAAATGAATTGATCTAGCAAAACTGCCACACATGGTTATTCATTTTTTTGGTCCTTCATTATGAAAATGCTTCACTCATGTACCTATGTGTTTAAAATTGTGTCAGATAGTTTTACATATAAAATATGAATATTTTTGGGAAATTGCACAAATCAAATAACACCGGCACACTTTTGCGAAAATTGCTACAGTAAATTTATATATGCATACAAGTTTACCATAACATTTAAAAAAAAAAATTGTAAATATACTTGCAAATTTAAAAGCTAAATTAAAATTCTTTTTTAGACAATTTCTTTACTGCTGAACTGGTCATGTGTGAAAGGAATTGAAGAGCAGAAGCAGAATGTTATTCCAAATCAGATTGCTCACCCTTCCAAACGAGAAATCGAGAAATTACTTTACGATAATCAGACATACAATTTAAATCAAACGACAGCCAAAAGAGTAACTGTACATTATGAGAATTCAAATGGATTCATGCCAATTATCGTCTTGGATAATCATGCAGAAAATGACAAGATAACATCCAAAGAAAATCAAAAGGAAAATGAAAGCGTCTTGGAAAATAATCCAGCTTATTCAATGGAAGCAAGAACGTTTTTAAATTTGCCCAAATTGGGCACTAATCGCAAACTTTTTGAATTAAGCAACAGAAGAAATGATTTGGAATTATTGAAAGTCGACAGCAATACACCTGAAGTTGCGACATATGAAGAATTTCACGATAACAAAAATCAAGAGTCGTTGGATATGGAAAAGAAGAAGGATTCAAGAGCAAGAAATAAATATCGATCTAAAGAGGTACAAAATGAAAAAAAATATGATAGGCACAGTGCAAATTCACACAACCATAATTTCCAGTCAAGTTCTTACAACACTAATCAGTTAAAGTCTAATTTTGGTGTAGAGAGAGTGAATTACCCTCAACATCAACAGGACGCATCAGGTTATAATCTTCAACGAAATGTTGCTTCAAAAGCGAAACTAGTGTCGGGGACAAATTTTAATACCAGACTATCTTCGGGAAACGAAAAGAAATCTAAAAACGAGTACTTTCAATTACATGCAAATCATAACAATGAGTGGAAGACCACGAAACCCATAATAGATGTTGATGACGATGAAGTGGATGACTACAGTCTTGGGATAAAACATGGATCTCAAAGATCCACTGTACCTCCCTCTTTGTCACAACAAATTTCATCTAATCCTTCAGTTTTATCAAATTTTCCATCAAAAACCTACGGTCAAGAAGGTGGATCTGACAATACCAGTCGTCATTACGAACGGTCAGAAGATTCTCAAGGAAGTTCTGATGAAAGCCTAGATTATATGGATATTTCGGAGAAACCTAGAAAGGTTCACAAGAGTAGAAGACGACCACAGCCTCTTGAGTTATCAAGAAAACTACCAAAAGAACATCAATATTTACAGGAAACTGATGATAAGAAACGACACAATCTAGTAAGAGCCAAGCAACGGCATCGTCAGCGCAACAAGCAGAATCACATGGATGATGATGGTCGTTATCAGGACGAGAGTCACGAAGAGAAACTCAACAATTCAGAAGCTGATAATGTGAATCAAAACTTAAACACAAATTCTTGGAATCCACTAGGATCATCTAACAATGATAATATACAATCAAATGGATTTCATGTAAATCAAATAGAAAAGCCTAAAATACTGTTTCCTGTAAATGTAAATTTAGTACCATTTACCCATCTCGATCAACAAAATGCAATGATCCAAAATCTAGGAGCCGGTATGTCCATTGTCAGCACAGCTACTCCTTACGCTACTACGCCTCAAAATTTAATCTCAAAAAATAGACAAACTTCCAATCAGGTACCGGACATCATTGTCGGTTTAAGCAGCATGCAAAATCCCGTTTCCGTTCTTTTACCACACGATCAAAATCCTACAGCTAGAAGTGCTTCCAGCTCAACTCCAAGATCCATCTTCGCTTCTGCTTCCACATTAGCTCCAACTCATCAACAAATAGCATTGAATCATCTTCCAATAAATCACTTTTTGGTACCCCAACCATCTCTCCAATCTACGTCAAACATTCTTCAAGACAATTCTGCCATTCAAATTCATCCTCATGGAATTCAAGGTCAGAATATAGTTTCCTTACAAAACATTCCTATTATTTCAAGTACTACTCCTATAAGTTCGAAATTTTCCACAGATGGACAATATTTAGCAACAGCTAATATAGCTGTTGGCAATGATGCTCAAAAATCAAATCAAAAAGCAATTTTTCAAACTCAAATGGTTCCGGTTTTATTGAATCAACAAAAATCGCAGGATTCGTTTGTTGTAGCAAGACCAAAAGATGGTGATCAAATTCAAAAAGCAACTAACGATGCTTTTCTGAGTTCTATGAAGGATCTACAAATGCAGATTCAAAGGAATCAATTGTCAAACTCTTATCAAAATACTGACAGTATTGGAAGTGCGAGCAACAATATTAATTCTTTTGCTGAAATGCCATTTAGCATTATGAGAACTCAAATGCCTGTTCTAGGCTCGAAGAATGTGGAAATCATCAATTCTAATGGGTTCAGTCCTATTAAACCCAACCTCCTTGATTTTGCAATAATAAATCCGGTGACGCCGATTAATCAATTCACTGCAATGTATACGACGCCTGTTCCAGTTATGAGTACTACAAGATACATAAATAATAGACCATCCATTTCTTCAGACAGTATTAATCTCAGCAACTACGTAGGTTCATTGACCGAGTACGGCGCCAAAACACCATCAAGTAGTTCCTACAACTTTCCTCCCGCTGAAGACAGTGCCAAGAGTGCATCACAAAAAAGTTCACGAACCTCCACCAAGGCAAACCTAAAATCTGAAATAGCAAAGTACGCCGAAGAAGTAGTAAGACAATCATTCAAATCAATGTACGATTCCCAAAAATTAAACAACGATCTTCGAGTTCCTGAGAACATTAGTATTGTCGATTCTTCAGAGTTGGCGAAATTGAGAAACGAATTACTTCGACTAAGACCAACGGGCTCAGTTTCCAAATCACCAACTGATGTTCTGGAAGCTCATCAAACAGAGAATAAACTACGAACATCAAATTCCAGACCTACGAAAAATAATTCCCAAAAACCAGCATTTTCTCTTGAGCAGATTGAACATATTTTAAAAGACGTTACAAGTCCGGACTATTACTCAAAACCAGACTCCAACGATGGATATAATTTCAAAATAAACGATTATCTCACACCACCAAAACCCAGTTCATTTCACGATAAACCATCAAAGAAACGCCCTCCAGGACCAAAACCTCCAGGATATTCCAGATCTCGGTCCCGTAAACCCTCTGGACTATATTCTAAAATGCATGGAATAGAAACAGCTGCATCGAATAATTACGAATTTGGTTTTGATTCACCTCGATACAGGAATGGACCTCCATTCGATCACGAATATCATGAAACTCGATCAGGACGACATGGACGCTCGAAATATCGCAAGAAAAATAGGGCTTTTAACAGTTATTCGACATTTAGTCCACCCTTGAAGGAAAGTGAGAGAAAATTGTTAGCGAAAGATTTCTATGACATTAATAATCCCAAATTTCATAATTTCCTTGGATTATTGATGAAGAATAATAGATTGCCCAATGGAATTCCACAACCTTATTCAAGTAACAAAGAAGATGAACATTTCGTAAAAATTTTAGAAATTGAAAAACAACGACTTGAAAATAAATTTTATAATGATGCTTTGCAGGGATTACAGAAAAAATTAGATGAATCGAGATTAGTCCAGAAAAGTACCAAATAAAAGAATCAAGTTTAGAAACTAAGGAAATACGTAGTCGATGTAATCAATCTGTATAGAAGACGTAACTGAAGTATAATCAATAATATTATATTTATTATTATAAATAATTTTAAACTTTTTCTTACCACAGAATGAAGCTACAAACCATTATTTGTTCAATTAGTTTTAAATATTTTTTAAACTATATAAGTAATGAACTGGACTTTAAATTATAATTATATCGTTTAAATTTTATTACTTCAACATTTTTAAGATACATTTTAGAAATTCTTTTTGTAAGGCTCTTCTCTAAGTGGAAAATATTTTAAAATTTACATAAAAAGTATAAAGCAACAAGATTATTTAAACTAAAAGTAACTTCGTTAACTGCGAAAATTAATTGTATTTTAATTAAAATTTATAAAGAGTGGAAATGTACGAATTATACATTTTTATTGAATCGTGTTAATTTTAATCTAAACTTTACAGCAACATTGACAATATAACCTCAATATTGTGAAACTTGCAGCATTATTGTTAGCATATTGTTAATGTTACTGCAAGTTTAGATGCTCTGGGGGTAGGAAATTGGTTTTACGTAATTTATTTGTTTATTGGAATACCTACGAGTATTTACTGTACATCTTTTAAACAATTTAATTAGAATATAAAACGTTATTTTTATTTTCAAAATTTATTGCAGTATGTTGTCGTGGTAAAATAGTATTTTTCTTACAAACTAAATGTAAATTTCGTAAAATATCTATTTGCACATTTCTATTAATGAAATTAATAGTCTTTTTGTTAGCGTTAAAATTAAATTTTAACACTTTTTTTTACAAGTGTTGAGATTAAACATTATTTTTGTACCTGCATACGTAACTTAATGAATGTATTGTTGTATGACTGCGAGTAAATATTAAAAACAACCGACATGTGAGAGGTCATGTGAATTTGCTATTGTACTTAGAAATTCATGAATGGCATTTGTTATATTCATTTATAAATTCTGTTTGGAATTGTCGTAATATTGAGAATAAAAGATATTTTGAAATGTGAATTCATTACAACTATGTTGCACTTTTTTCTTGTACACGTCATGATAGATTATTTGTCAAATGTCTACAAAAATAAATTTCTCCAATCCATTCCAATTTTTTTATGTGTTATTCTATAGGTAAGTAATTTATGAACAAAATATTTTTTAATTGTTTTAAGAAATTGGCAATATCAACGAAGGTATAATAGTTTTGAACATTTTTATAACACTTTTTTTGTTTTAACACATGATTGAAAAAAACCTGTACAGTCAAGGTTGGCCCACCATTAAATATGAATTTAACAGACACTTTTTAAATAAATATACAAATAAACATTGGCATACACACATTTTGCCAAAGATATTAGAAAAATAATATTAAATCCTATAAATTTTGTTTATTATTTCGTTAAGTTAGTTTGAACAGCTACACGTTACTTTTTTGTAACAGTAATGTATTATTTTTTTGTTTTATTTATTTGTAACCCTTTACAAGTTGTAAACAATAGAGGATAAATTTTTCGTAACGCTGAAAATGTTATTTTATTTTTTAACGGTAATGCCCTTTGAGTTTCAAACATGGGCCGACCTTGACTAGAAGGGCCAACCTTGACTAAATTTTTTTCATTTTAAAATCTTCATCACTTTTTCATTTTAAAACTAATCAATTTAACCTGTTCAGCAAAAAAAAATTATAAACATAAGTCAAAAAGTGGACCGACCTTGACTATAATATTAAAATGATTTTATATTTAACAAAAAAAAAATTAACAAAGATGGGAATAAAACCTTAAACCTTGTTTGCACAGGAGTCAAGTATCTTACCATACTATTCATTCCTGTTTAAAATGTTCGGACAAATAAAATAAATAATGGTTAAAGATGCTATTACAAAATCGCATCTTGAATTTTCGATTTCTAAAGTTTTATTTTCTCAATGGGAAATAAAACATTTTATTTATTCTCAAAAAAATAATACACTTTTTTATACAAAAAATATTATACATTATACACTCCAATAATGTCTTATCTTACGTTTATAAAATTCCACAGTTCATTTTCGTTTATTTATACAAAATTATTTATAAATTACATGTTTAATTATTATTAAATAAGGTAAGTCATATTTGTTAATACACTCTAAGATGCTAATAAAAAATTACTATATGTATAGTTAGATCTATCTATTTTTTCGTCAAAGGTAAGTTCACAATTTTTTATATATGTGGACCTACCATTTTCATTTCGCTTATTTGCTCGTCAATTTATAATAAAACTTAACAACAGTTTTTTACATTATTCAACAATTTACATACTTTTCAAGAAATAAGTTTCTTCAACTAAGAAAATTTTCTTACTTGAAAATAAAAACAAACACTTATCTACAAATTTTGAAATTTTTAATTAATAACGGTAATTTTGTAAGAATTAAATTTTTTTTAATTTCAAGGTAAGTACTTTAAAATATATTTTTATCCAAGTTTCATAATTACCTGCGTATCACAATAAGTACTGCAGACGCATATTTTTAATTTAGCTGACAATATCAAACATTAGCATATCAACAAAAAATATTAACAAAATCATCAACATATTAACAAAATTTAATTAACATGAATTAACAAAATAACAAAATTTAATTAGCATTAATTAACAAAATTTAATTTTACCCTCTTTTATTATCTTTCTTATTACTGAAATTTATACTAACATTATCCAATTCTTTTTGCTGGGACGATGTGGTCGGCGGAGTTGGCTGATAACTCGAGTACTCAAAACTTGAAGTTTGAGGTGTTTGTGTGGGTAAATTTTTACTTTTAAAACTTGCTCTCTGCTCCTGGTTCGATGATGCTTGATAATTTTGATCTACCTGCGACGGTTGAGACTCATAGTCACCATAATCAGGAGAAGGAATGGAACTTGGATTTCGGCTACTCTTCAGGGGTGTAAGAAAAAGTCCCGGTGCTTTTGGATACTGTGAATCGGGAAATCTTGGATTCTTTGTGATTAGTTGTGTTGTTGGTGTCAATCCACTGCCAAGTTGATTCGTAGGTTTATTAATTATCGAAGGATTTATCACGTAGGAAAATCCAGTTTTAGGACCCGAAGTATAACCATCATTATTTCTTATGTTCTGATTAGGAGAAGTGCTTGTTTCATAGATTGGATACTGAGCTTGGCTCACTTGTTGAGCAACACTCTGTGCAAGTAACTTGATCAGCGTTTTACGCATAAGTTGTTCCAATTGTTGAGATTTGATTTCAGAGTCAGAGTCGAAATCCAAATTGGCAGATTGGTTTGGAATACCGTTTAGCCTTTCGGCATAATTTGATTTAAAGGAACTTGATCCTTTATAGGTGGATGACTGACCATCTAAATCCTTACTGTTTGATGACAGGAAATTTCCTCCGTCTCTAAATTGGGTATCATCATTATCATCCTTATATCTTCCTTTGGACTTTTTTCCCTTTCGGTCATCATCGTCGTCATCGTCGTCCTTCTTGTTTGGATAGTTAGCACCCGGTGTTAAAAATGGATATTGATTGTAAAAATTAGGAAACTGACCTGGAGGAGAATAAAAATTGGGGAAATTACTTGCTGGAAATGAGCCAGGTGGAAGCTGTGGAACTTGTGAATTTTGAAAAGCGTTACCGAAATTGTTTAAGGGATTAAATGGAATACCTCCAAAAGGATTTGCACCAAAAGCAGTGGAACCGAAGGGAGAGGCACCAAAAGGAGAGGAACCAAAAGGAGGGGAACCAAAAGGAGAGGAACCAAAAGAATTGGCGCCTAAGGAACTTGAAGGAAAGAGAGAAGAATATGAAGATGGTAAAGGTGGTGAAGGTGGTGAAGGTGGTGAAGAAGCAGGTGTTTTTGAAAATGCATTATAGGGGGAATAATAAGAATCCTTTCCAGAATAATTATTCAAGGGATAGGATGAAGCATCTCGTGGATCTTGTTTTGGACTATAAGTATCTTGTGTTTCTGGAGTTGCGATATTTCTTTCTGCTCCTCGTTTCATCAACTTGGGACTGTATGGAAACGTTGGATATATTGGCATAAACGGTTCACTGTTCAAGTCCCGAGGACGATGGTAATTCTGAGCTAAAATTGATGTTGACAGCAGAAGGAGAATCTGGAAAAAGACATTAATGAAAACCTTTTAGTAAGTAAGGTAAGTAATTTAAAAATAAATTTTTTTGTTGATAATAATAGTGAGATGCAAATAGGGATTAAATACAATCAATAAAAGTTAAAACTATTTTAAAACTACTATATAGATAATAGAGTTTATTAAAAATAGTTTTTAAAATAAAATGTTTATATTTAAGTACTTGGTATAAATCTTTAAAAATTAGTAAGCAATAATTTAATTCCATTAATACAGATACAGCTTGAATTTAGGTATAAATAATAAAGAAGAAATTCTACGGATTCACTTTATAAAAATTCCATGAAATTGTTCCAAAGCAGTGTAACCAAAACCTTCTACAAGAGTAGTACCCCAATGGGAAATGATTTTTTAAAATTTTATTTAATAACAAAATTTTTTATTAAACCTCTTGTGCTTTTACGGAATGATTACAGGGCGGATAAATTTTTGTATTAATATTTAATACGCACCAACAGCTCCATGCTGAATAAACAACACTTTGCACCAGAAAATAATAAAAATATTATGACATTGATCACTATATTCAGTAGTTTCTTTAATTTTTTTTTTATCTGTGTTCAATAGCAGTGTTTGGTTGTTAATGATAGATCGGGGGACATTGAATTTCTCCTTTATACCTGACTTCTTGAAAAATCTCGAAACTAGTTTACCTTTTCTCTTGTCTTATATGTTGCAAGAAAACTCCTGGCAGAAATATACACGCCCCTCGTTTAAAAAGATAGTGAAAACAAAGTTCCCGTAACCGGTGCATCTCGCATTAATGAGTAGAGTAGATGAATTGTGTTAATTTAGTAATGATGTGATTATACTATATATAGACACTTTATACTTTGTATTTTTGACACTTTTTTTTTATTCAGATGGAAAAAATTGCCAATTCAAGATATTTTAAAAAATTCTTTTTCGATTATTAAAAAAAGCAACTTAGCAAAATTAATATTAACTTCAGGTACTGATAAAAATGTTTCCATTGTCAGCATAAAAAATATATAAAAATTTTATTTTATATTTGTTCGACCCGTTTCTTAATATTTTTGTAGAAAATTCTCAATTTTCATAAAGAAATAATTTCCATCATTTCTATTTCTTAATATTACAATTGCTCTAATAAAATTCAAAGTGATTTAAAAATAAAGGAAAAAAATGTTTATAAATTGTATTTGTGAATTAAAAATTATAATTGAAAATGAAATCGAAACTTCTTAAATGTTTAGAAAATAAGGGGAACAATTTTACTCAAAAAAAAATATTCTGTTACATTTATTTACGAATTTCTTTAATTGTAAAATTATTCGAAAACAAAAATTCAAAAATTTTAAATTCAAACCTTTTTGAAATTAAACAAATTATAAAAGTATTGTTATAAAACATGAAGACATCGAGAAAAAACAAATTGAAAAAAACAATTGGAAAATAGTTTTCAGGAAAATATAAAAATATTTTACAGCAATTTTATTTCTTCATTCAAATATTCCAATATAAATTTATTCATATATTCAGTTATTTAATAAAAAATAATGCTGCGGAGTTGAAATTGAATTTTTACTCTCGTGCCAATATCTCAACTTTGATTATTAATAAATGCAGTATTTTTCTTTTTTTTATAATACACGAAGTAAAATGGATTATAAGATTCAGATAATACAGGAAGAGATCATATAGTCCGGTAACTGACATAATTACATTTATAATTTGTATACTATTACCATAATGACGGTTAAGTTATTAATTTCGTAATACAATACAGAAAACACTTAATTTGATATTGAGAATACTTAGCCGGACGCAAAGAGAATTTGGCATCTATGATTTTGAACGAAAAATCCAAATTTAAAAATGTTTAGGAATTACCCTCTGGGCACGGAAATGTCTTTGTTCTAGAAAAGAACAAAGACATTTTGTAATTCATTTATGAATTTTAATGACCCTTTAATTATAATCACGTACAAAAAATGACTACAATAAACATTCGAATTTAACTGTTTCAATTATTATTGATTGAAAACAATGGGCGAGATCTTTACCCTTAGATGGACAATAATCAAGGATCGACTCTCGCTTTAGCCCGTTATTGACTGTCAATGAACCGGTTGTACTCAGGAGTTGTTTTCTACAATTTCTTTTCCCTCTGACAAGAAAACCCACCAATGGATACTCATTGTCAATGCTGAGAAACAGTTATATGCTTTGCAATAATTGTTACATCGAGGCTTTAAATTAAAGGATATTTAAATGGCAAAAATGTATAAAGAAAAATTAATTTTGACATAAAAAGTAAAGTTACATAAAGTAACTTTTTAAAATTTTCATCTTTTCGTTCTATTTTTTCATAAATAACTATTACAAAAAACTAATATTACATTTTGAGCTTAATATTTGTTTTAAAGAGTAATTGGAGATTTTTGATTAACACTTCTGTTTATTAAGAATAACAAAATTACCTAGAAGTACTTTCGGAGCGTATTGGATATAGTTTCGCTTGAGGAGCGCACAGTGGGACAAATAGCACTTTTCAGGGACAAAAATCTAGCGCTCTTATTATTTTAACGGATTTTGTTAGTCTTTTTAAATGATCTTGAGTTTCCGGCGAATACAATGCGTCTGCTAATAATTTATTTGAACTAATTATTTATTTAATAACAATGCAGATGAAAATTATTTTCTAACTTATTTGATAGACATCTAAAGTGTCCTAAATTTAAATTTCACTTAAAATTGACATTCAGAGATGTAGTTAAACATAATTGATAAGTTTATACTTACTAGAATGGTAATAAAAAATTTTAATATTGTTATAAACAATATAAACATATTATGATTCGCTGATCACGAATCTGTAGTTTGTTCTTCAAAATTCAAAATGGCGGATCCAATATGGCGGACGACATTTTTAAAAAACGATTGTTACTCGGGGAGTTTTCGTGGTTGTTGATAACGAATTGGCTATTGGTTTTTTAAAATTTAAAAGCGGGGTTTCAAAATATTCCCCTGACATATTGTCAGGGGAATATTTTAAAACCCCGCTTTTAAATTCGAATAATAAGGTTTTATTAATTAAATAGTTTATAAAACATGTTTTAATTTAAAATAAAAAATAATCACAATGTATAATTAATAAGTTTTTACATAAATTTTAATTTAGTAAAAGTTATAGTAATCATTGTAGGCTTAAAAATGTTTTTATGATTTTTTTACAAATAAATGTAATTGCTTTAACAGAAGTTACAAAAATAAAACAAATAAAAACTTTCATTAAATATTCAAATTTCAAAAAAACTTTTTTTATAGCAATGGCAGTTATTAAATTCATTCTATTAACGTTATTTTCTGTACCAGAAAATAAGTCGCGTGATAGGATAGAACTTAGAAATATTTGTTTGTTAATAGGTAATTTAATTAAAATTTTAAAGTACTCAGTATAATTTTTTTTGAAAGATATGTAATAAGTTTATGTATGCTGCAACCGCATTTATAAATGAGGCGTTTGCTAGTACTGTTCAACGTTCATCGTGTCAGCTTAGAGCCCATGAAGCTTGCACAGGGCAATAATACATTTTTCATTTGTAATTACAGTAAAAGCAAATAATTTTCCTTTGTTTATTATTTAAGAGACCCGAAAAGTATTTTATGTATTACAATTTAAAATTTCAATTAAAATTTCATCCTTTTTAATAAAAATCCAAAGAATCCTTTTTTAATGTAAATGTAGTTTTATTTTGCTCCAACATTTTATAATGTAAGTAATTCTATAATATTTCTTATAATTTAAGTGTACAAACATTTGATAAAAATAATATGTACAAACATATTATTTGAAGTAATAAATAATAATGTTTACTCATTAGCCATATAAACCCCTGCGCCTGAGGTTATCCATCACGCCCTGTCCGGGGTGTATTGAATAGCATTGCTACTTCAGAAAAACCATTCTACAGTTAAAAGTAAAAGGAATATCAGAACTTTTTTTTATAAAAAGAAAGCTAAGATACAAGATTCACTTTTCTGTGGGATAAAAATTTAATGAATGTGAAAACAGCGAAATAAACAATAAAGAGTGAAAAGTTAACGCCCCGATCTTCTCTATATATCTTTATTGCTGTGAGATCGTTGACATTTTCCCATGCTATAGTTAGATTAGTAAATTTCTACAATTTTCACCTTGACATCCGATTCTATCGTCGTGGATCTGAATAATTTTTGTGCACAACTCCTGACAGAAATTACACCAATCCTCTACGGTATCTTCGGCAACGCCTACTTCTTGACGAACTACCCGTTGTGGATTGTCAGTCACTTTCACGTGCCCGAAGGAAATTGTTTCCTGTTCTAGGGAAGTTACCAAGAGTCTTATTCCTTATTCGGTCGAAAGTAGTTGAAACGAAAGAAAAAAAGAGGTGAGTTTAAATTGTCCCTCCGGCTCAAAAGACCGGCTGTAGTACATTTCTTGAACTTGTTTTCAAGGTTACAGTCCCATGTCTCTGGGATTCAGTGCTTCGATTATACTAACAAGTATGTATGTATATAAAATAAAGGGAGAGAACATGGAATTGCTTCACTTTCACCTTTTCGATTATTCTCTTGTTAATAGAATCTCTTTTTAATGTGCAGCACTCAACTATTCCTTTTTTGTAATACCGGGCAACAATGACCAATAGATAATGTACTTCCGGTGTTCGTTCGCATATACAATGGAGAAAAGTGCACCTTTCAGGATATCAACATTAACTTCATGAATCAAATGATTTTTATTAAATAATAATTAATAATTCATAATCTTAGAAATTCAATCAAATGTGAATTGATATTTATTGTTCGTTAAAATTAAAAAGGTAAATAATGAACCAATGGATTAGATAAAAGTTACAAAAAATTTAATTTCCGACTGAAAAAAGTTTTCTATTCCGGAAACAAATAAGTGGCTATAGTTAAAGCCGATTTTGTCGAAATGATTCTTTGCTAAATTAGCAATGAGTATTGAATCAACTTCGAGGTTATGTGTCAAAAATCGACAATAGTTGCACTACTCTATTCGTAAAACAAAAAAGAGAATAATTAAATTCTCGAACCACACATCGTTTCGTTTGATGAAACTTGTTTTTTCCCAGGGTTTAATACATATCTTAAGCTTTATAAATATTTAAAAAAAATTATTTTTAATTAAAAATGGCGGAGATATAAGCATTGGCGTGGATCAGTTTTTCTGAAGCGCACTCCTTGATGGTGTACATGATTGGCATTTCAATTTTTGTCTGAATCAAGTAAACAAATATTTTTCTTAAAAAGTGATAAGTTTTGAACAGAGTGTATTTTAATTTTCAAGTCAATCGGTTGAATAGTTTTTGAGTTATCATGTACGCTGCCTCGAAAAATGTGGTTTCGAGAAAAACGCAAAAGAAGAAAAAATGTACTTTAGTGTATTATAACTTGAAATTTTGTCAATTTACTAATTAATCAACAATTCCTGAGTCATAATACTCTTCACCTAGAATGGAAAGAATGTCGTCCGATTCCTTTTATTGAGCTCTTTAATTTTCCGGCCTCCCTTGTCGTCTCCTCCGTTCTCAGGTTGGCGATGGATACTCGGCGTTGGTCAACTTCTTCGCACATTTGCTGTGCATTTGGTCCGATTTTTAAATTTAATATTTTTATTTGCAATAATTAGTTACTGTAGGAATATATCAATTGCTTCCTTACAACAAAAATATTAATAAAGCTTAGAATAGAATTTTTTAAAAGTATTAATAAAGTAACCCTGCAGACTTAAATATGCGTTATTAGTATAAAAATTACCTAAATGTTCAGCTGTTGTTGGTAATCACCTTCAACTAAAATATTAAATAATCGATCGTGAATTAAAAGTTCAAAAATTTTGTGCTTGGAGAATGGCATTTCTCACTTATAGTTTAAAAACATTGATTTGAACGTGAGAGTGAAACAAGTGCTACCAGTAGGAAAAAACTAAGAAAAGTGCTTTCCATAGAAGAGCATCAAAAGATACGACATGCGACGACCTTGTCCATAAAATAATACTAGTTAGCATGGTGACCGGTTACACTCGTTAATTTGCGAATACATTTATGTACATGCTCATGTTTCAATAATCCATGAAAACTAGGACAGGTGCGTCAGAGGAGTAAGCCTCACAATAACATGCACACTTAATGAATTATTATTATCAACGCGTGAGTTGATATTGACAAGTCCAAGAGAAATGACTTCTGAAAAAGAATGAGAAATATTCAACTTTGTTTCACTAAGTCAGCAAAATCTTTATAACTATTAATAATACTGAGTCATGTGTCACTTGCAGAATAAATTCTAAAATACAGTTGTAAGATGTTCTTTTTAATTTGCAGTTTCGGATATAAATATGATTCAAATTTAATATTGCAAAGTTTCTGTTTGATCAATAATAGATCATTTAGTACTACCCATTTATTTCAATGTGCGGTTCTGAAGTAATTAAACCTGCTTCGTTAATTATCAGAAAGGTTCAAAAGAATAAAAAACAATTAGAGAAATACACTCTAATTACAACTGTATTTTGTATAATATCAAATTTACAAATGTTTGTGTGTGAAGTGTTAAAATTCGCGATAAGTGTAATGTAAAAAGGAGTTTAAATTTTTATCCTTTGCTTACAAGTTCAAAAAAGTATCTGACGGTTTTTAGGAAAGATTCTTAAGTGGTAAGGTATAGGGAATGAGAAGGATGTGCCAAATTTGGCAGAGAAGGGATATCAGTTTGCCTAGGATTGGTTACTTATAAGAAAAACCCAAAAAGGCGGAGGTATTGAAATTTCACAAGGTTTGGGTGCATGTGAGAGTAATTATACAATTACGAGTTATTGTTATCCATTTACAATGGTCCTGATCCTAAAAGATAGATGATCCATGCTTGGCCTAATAAACATTTTTATGCCACCTTTTTTCTAAATTACCACTCGACAATTTAGAATAGTGAAATTACGGTTCTTAGAAAAATATAAGTTTTGAAATAATTTTTTCTTAATTTGGAAAAATATGCAATATTAAATGCAATGAATCTGAGAATTTTTTTGGAGTGTTGTAAATTTTGAGTTCTTGTTCGTTGGAATTTCGAGTTTGTTATTTTTGTAAAGGAAATATAAGTTATATTGATAAAGTTATAAAAAGAAAAAATTTAAATAAAATTCAGTTGCAGTAAACTAAAGATATAATTTTAAATTTAAATTAATTTGTTGCGACGTAACAAGATCTTTTACTAGAGTTTGAAAATTTCTTGATTTTGATTTGAACAAAAATCTCTTATATATCTAGTTGAGCTCAAAATTAATAGATATAATTTGATATAATATGGTAAGAGAAAAATACTATGAAGAAGTAAAGTACTCCATATAATCTTATAAAGAAATCAATTAACAAAAGACTTTCCCAAATAAAATAATCTTTTTAGAAAGGAATATTGCTGTCCGGTTTGTCGGGTTATATGACCTTGAAGTAAAAGTGATCTCTTTCTTGTGCATCTATTTCTACTGACGCTAATGACTATTTTTCATTAAACCGGTATTTGAATCATGACTTTCACATGTCTTGAGAAATTTTACGCGTTTTCAATTCATTGAAATTTGTATTTGCATAGTAATCTATTTCTTTTTTTTTATTTCAAAAAACTGGAAGAAAACTCTCGAAAATATCTTTGAAAGACCAAAGTTGCGTCTTGCAATGGTTAAACACAATTTTGTCTTAGAAATTTATAGTTTAACACTTTATAGTTTTTCACTTAATTTAATCAGATCTATTTGCAGGATAATGGACTTTTATCACTTAATGCGCTCTTTTGCATCAATAAAAATGTATTTTAAATAACTTTTTGTATCTTTCACCTAATAAATTTATCAAAGTGCTAATATTAAATTATATTTAGAAATCAGAAAAGAATCGAAAACAGTTTTTTGAATTTACACAATTTAAAAAAAATAATAATTCAGAAGATTTTATTTTTAAATTAAATTTATTTTTGAAGGAAATGGGTAGAAAAATATAACAAGAGAATTTTTTTTATAAATCGATTTTAATCAGAGAACAAGATCACAATTATATACTGTACAACTTATAATAAATTCAACAACAGTCAATTCAACATTAGTCATAAATAAATACAAACTATTCCTATAATAATTTTCTGTAATTTAAAGAAAATAGTCTACACTGAAAAAACCTTGATTTATGCGTAGCGAATACTATTCAATTTAATAAGCATCGAAATTGAATTTCTTAGGTGGAACATTACACTTCGTTAAAAATTGTTTCATTCTAAGTGGGAACAAAAATTTGTTATCTTAATTTGAATAGGTCTTTGATTACTTTTGCATAAAGATTTAAGACCTTAAGATCAAACATAGTAGTAAATTTACAAACTTGATGTTTGGAGAACGTTTCAGATTTTTTTCGATTAGAACTAAGTCTAAGTGTATGTTCAGAAAAAGTCGTAGTATTTAATAAAGAACTATGATAATTCAACAGGACTTGAATAAGAAATTGTGTCGTATTCCGATGAAGTAGATTGCTTTTTTTCAGCGACTTTAGTCTCTGGATACCTAAGGTATTTGGTGTTCAAGCTAGCATATGCTCCAGATAAATCACCTTGAGGAAAACTAGCATAGCTGGTAGGATAACCACTTGTTCCAGAATGTCCAGAATCAGCACTGGCATATGCAACAGATGGATTTAAATTGCTCGCACTTTGTGTCAAATAATTAGAATTACCATTGGAGTAGCTAATACTAGGAGAACCGTAGCTGGTTCCTGAAAAACTGTGTCCAGACGATGATTGACTGGAACTGGGATGAGAGTGGCTAGAGGGTAGGCTAGGGCTAGAATAGCTAGAACCCAAATTAGCGTAACTAACACTTAACCCACCTCCTTTAGTATTTCCAGAATAGCCGGGAGATTGATAACTACCACTTGTATAACTTGGACTTGATTGACTTTGAGTACTTGGAGAACTGTAATTTTCCACTTGAGAAACATAGTTGGAACTTGGAGAACTGTATTTATTATTCAACTGTCTATAAGCGCTAGGGGAACTAAAACTGTGACTATAAGAATTGTAAGTGGGATTAGAACTAGTGCTGGCGCTGGGAGAATTATATGCAGAATTTTGAGATCTGTAATTACTAATCAAAGATTTTTTAGGTACGTAAGCACTTCCCTCTGAGGAAGCTGGTATATATTTGGAAAAAGAGCTAGACCCGGAATTTGAGCCTTCGAACGATGGAATTGGCTGAGCATAATTTGTACTACTTAAACCACTGTCTGCAGACAGTGCATCCTTTGATGTTCCATAGGCTGAGGTGTAAGGGGCATAAATAATACCACCTTGAGGTGATGCTGACATTGGGATATTGTATTTTGAAGAACTTATAGGTGATGCGGCTAGAAGAATACTACCTATATTTGGTTGTTGTGAACCAGAAATTGGTACACCGTAGCTTTGAGATTCGCCAGAACCTGCGGAAGTTTGTGGCAATAGATGGACATCAGATAATCCTGGTGATGCTGCTAGTAATAATGGTATACTGTAACCTCCAGATTGACCACTCAGCATTGCCATTCCTTGAATTCCACCATGAAGTGCTGCAGAAGGATAACTACTTGAAGCACTACTTGCTGCTTGAGCACCAAAAGTAACTGGCCCCGCTTTTGTTTGCGTTGGTAAAATTAAATTCCCCTGATCACTCAACGAATGCGCTCTCAAATTATAAGTGTGACCAAAATTTGAAATAGGACTCACAACAGCTGCTGAGGGATCATGAGAACCACCCAAAGCAGCATAATTTTGAATTCCTGGACTAAGAACATAATTAGCTTGCGACGATGATGATTGTGATTGTAATTGAGATGGTGTAGCCTGAACGTAACTTGTGGAATAATCAGCTGCACCTCGTTTGTCTTTGTTTAAACGATAACCTCTATAAAGTCTCACGTCGGCTCTTGCTTCTTCAGTTGAAAAATCAATGATTGCGATTGATACCACGAAAATCTGTAAATATGAAATAATTAAAAATTTTATTTTCTGAGTAATAATAGGTTATGTGTTGAATGAATGTGAATGCACTTAATTTATAAAAATTACTACTACTTGCACGAAATATTCGAATCGTATACCAGGAATAATTATCATTAGCATTAAGAAAAAAGAATTCGTTAAAATCGAAAAATTTTCTACTGAATTTTGATAAAATGTTTTTATTCTACAAAATCTAACATAATAAAATTTTTATATTTAAGTAATTAATTATTTTAGAAATCGAATCCTACGGTAAGAGTGATAAGAATTAATAGATTTAAAATATAAAAAAAATTTATCTTAAATATTTTTGAACATTCAAACGAATATCTAGTTGTTAAAACTTTTATATCGAAATATAAAATTATTAAAAAATTACAACTTTCTATTCGTCGATATTTACTCATTTAAATAATTAATGGGAATTCAAAAACAAAACTTTCAACTTTTGAGAAATGGCTCACTTTATGGATTAGAATGAAAGATTATTAATAATAATAAAATTGGGGATAAGTAATAGGTTTAAAATTTTAATATTAAACTAAAATAAAATATCTAAATAGGCTAATGTTAAAAAACTGATTTTAAACAAAGCAATAAAATCTTTTATTCACTTTAATTTAAATAACTTAATGTTTAATTAATTTTATTAATTTTATTAATTCAGTTAATTCATTAACATAACATTTAAAATAATTAAAGTTTAATACACTATAGATTGTTTTGTGTTATAAATAAACTCAATCAGAAAATTAGGACTTACAAAAAGCCGCATGTTGAGCCTTATGGAAACAATTGAGAGGGTAGTTTTTGAAAGTATGTAATCCAATAAGTAAAGTACAGTGTCTGATGGCATTTCAAACATCCTAAGATCTTTTATATCAAGAGACCCCTCTTTCTCGAGAAAGAAAGGTCTAGGTGAAGGTAAAGTTTATACACTTGTCGAACACCTTCACAAGCAGTTACAGATCCAAATGTAGGTAACATTTACGAATTTTTGTGCAATAAAAATAAATATGTACATCGATCGGAAGTAGTTAATTACAAGATTCTGTAAATAATTTTAGATATAATTGTTGAACAGAAAAAAAGTAAGAGTATTCCAAAATACCTAGAGTGTTAAAACGTATTTAAACGCATTTAATTAAATGAAATTCTCGAATTTTTATTGTAGTTAATTACATCTGCATAATAATTTAATTATATAGTTTAATTTAAATACTTTAAATAAAGTCTTGTAAATTTTTTTTTAATTTCTTATAAACTCTTGTAAAATTCAGAACCATTTTTCTGTATGAAATTTGTACGGATGTTTGTTCGAATTACTGTCGAATTTTGTTTCTGGATTTTAGAAAAAATGTTTGCAGGGAAGTTCGCAAAGAATTGTACACGTAATATTTACAAATTTTTTGTTTAAATTTCAAACTACACTTTTTTTTTACAAACTTCGTACAAATTTTTCTTGGCAACTGCTGACGAAATTCTTATGTAAGGAATTTCTTTAAACCCTGAAAAATCTTTTTTAATTCGCTTTATAAAAATATCGTAAGAATTTTCGTTTGAAATTCGTAAGGAAAAGTGCGGTTCAACATTTTTTAAAAAAATTTACAGCACATATTACGTGTGTCGAATTCATTACAATGTTTCTTTTTTGTAAAAAAAATTTTTTTAATTTCATAAAAATGGTCCTGATTTTCACAAAAAGCTAGAGTTAAACTGATAAAAATATAAAACTTTATTTTTTTAAATTTTATGAAGTATAAATGAATTTCAATCGTGTTTTTTAATCGTGTTAAATAGTGTCAAATGGTTTTATTCGTGGTCAATTGATTTCTTCTGTAAAGGAAATTATACATATAATATGTTATCCTCAATTTTCTTGTCATAATATTTCAAATGTTCAATTTCTATTAATATTAGATTTATTCTAAATCAATCTTATTACTGAAATAGATCATTATTTCATTATTAGAAAGTAAGAAGGTTATTAAATAACGATGGAGAATATAAATTTATTAATTTAATAATGATAATAATAATAATAATATTAATAAATAAATTTATTATATAAATGAGGTATTTTTTCTCAAGTGAGCCATCCCTTCTCTTCATTTCAGATTTAATCCGAAAACCTTATATAATAATAGCTCCAATTAAAGGTAAGAATGTCAGCAGCTTTTTAATGTCGTTGGGCCTTTTTTGAAATATTAATTTTTTAAATGAACTGTAGAGAATTTAATGACAAAAAACTTAAATTTTTTTCATGGTAGAAAACGAAGTAAAAACCATTATTCAAAATTCTATGGGAACTCCAACATTAAATTATATGAGAAATTTACAAAATTTAATATTATTTCCTAAAATTAAACATGGCGAATCCAATATGGCGACCAGAATTTAAAAAGTTTATAATTTTTGTTTAAACTCACCATAAAGGGGATTCTTGGATCGCTGATGACGAATTTGGTGTTAGTTTTTCAAAATTCAAAATGTCGAATCCAAAATGGCGGACTTAAAAATTAAAAATCAATCGGCTTTGACCTACAATTTGTTATTTAGGGGTTTTTGGAATCGCTGATTACGAATTTGATGTCAGATTCCCAAAATTCAAAATGGTAGATCCAATATGGCTGACGTGAAATTAAAAATCAATCGGATTTGTTTAAAATTTGTTATTTTGGGGTTTTTGGGGTCTTTGATTACGAATTTAATATCAGATTTTAAAAATTTTAAATGACGGACATAAAAATATTAGGAATTGATCGAATGCACTTAAAATTTATTACTGGGATTTTTTTTGGTGTCTATGATTAGGAATTTGATGTCAGCTTTTCAGAATTCAATATAACGGTTCCAATGTGGTTGAGGTAATATGAAAATTTAATCAGATTTGCTAAAAGTTCGTTACTGTGGTATATTTGGAATCTCCGACTGTATATTGAGTGTTAGAATTTATTTTGAAAATGTAAGATTGTCTACAGTTGTCTATAGTTCATTTGAAAATCAATATTTCAAAAAGAGCCAAACGGCATTAAAAAGTTGACATTCTTACCTTTAATTTCAACTATTAATAGTTGAAATTAATTAATTAATTAATTAAAAAAGGTTTTTGGATTAAATCTGAAATGGAGAGAAGGGGTGGCCCACTTGAGAAAGAATGCCTCAAGTATATATTATTAATTTTGTGATATTTTAATTATAATTTATTATAAATTATGATTAATTATATTAATTATGAATGTAATTACATTCTTATGAATAATAATAATATTAATCACAATAATAATAGGGAAGTGTGGTTCGAAGTCGATCCACTGAGCTATTCTCTCGAAAATAGTAAGAAAATCGAATTCAATTACGTTGGAGAATGTATAATTGTGTTCAGCGATCGTTTTCCTATAATTGTTTGTTAGAACGATATAGAATGGCTTCTATAGTCTCAATACAATGCAGGGTGAAATGTTGTATTTTGTTCTTTTTTCAAAATAGTGTTTTCAACTCGACACCCATACAGCACATTATTTTTCAGGAAGTTTTCAAAAGTAAAGTTTGGAATTTCCTGAAACTTTCCACAGGAAGCTTGCAAAAAGTTTTCACAATGAGAATGTTAGAATTTTTTGGAAAGTCATATAAAAATAAAAGTTCCATGTATTTTAACGTTTCGGCATCATCAGAAACTGGATTTTATTGATAATTAGAAATTGTTTATGAATTGTAACTTAATAATTAATTCTAACTCACCTGTTGTCTGTAAAAAAAAATCAATATAAATTAATTACAAATTTTTCTTAATTACAATGATAAAATTTCATTTCTACGAAATTGCATATATTGAATTAAATATTATTTAATCCTAATGTGTAGAATATTTTATTGTGCAGTTCAGTCACGTATAATTGTGTTACCCTATGCTTATATAATATAATAAGAGTTTTTGTCGTGTAGATTATTTTGTGAGGAGTTTATTTTGGAAGAAGTAATTTAATTTCAGTTTTTTAAATTTTTTTGTAAGGAAAAATCAAAATTATTTAATAGTAACATACAATAGTCAACAAAATTAATTTGATTATTGCCTGACATTTTTCTGACATTCAGACAGAATTTTAACTTTTTCCCAGACTCTAAAGGATATTTTTTTTCACTGTTAAAAATGTTTCTAATATATTTTTACTTCTGTTAGGAAGAAGATTTTATGAAAAATTCGCAAATTGGCATCAGTTAAAATTCCAAATGAATCCGTCATAAATTGAACGAGTTACAGTGTACACAATTTTGAAAAATGTAGTTTTGAGAAAAACGCATTTAAAATTTCAGGACGGATATACTATACATATAACATATTTAAAATAGCGATTTAACAATTTTTTCACTTTTACTTTGATACCCCAGCACTATATAACCACTGCTTTATATTTATGCTTTATATTTTATATTATAATTAAACTGATTTGTACTCCCAAAAATTATCGACAAACTATAATATGTTTAAAATTTTTAATTATCATGTAAAAAGTAGTTTAATGAATTTTTGTCGACAAAATAGTATTTACACATCATTCTTGGATAGTTTATGCGATATTCTATTTCTTAGGTAATGATCCCAGAATTAAAGTTACTAAAAATAAAAAAGAAAGTATTATTGTAAATTGTCCACTGCCTGTGAAAAGTATTTTAAATATATGAGAGGTGTGGATTTTTCCGATCAAAAATGATCGTATTCTCACCTCCGATCATAAATCATTTAAGACAAATATCGCTCAACATCATTTAATAGTAAATTCAAATCATCCTCGAAGATGTAGTTTCTGTGTTAGGGAAGAAGCATTAAAGATAACAACTTTCTTTTGAGTTGAGTGTTTCAGATACATGAATGATAATAAAACCTATCTTTTCTTATTTACTTATAATATTAAAATATTTTTACAATGTTTATTAATACTATTTAAATTTATAATATCTTTTCAATTTTATTATTACATTTGTCTATAGTGTTTTCTTACATTGTTCGCATGAAGCAATTTATATTTTCATAAAATGTATTTGCATTTCTATTATTATTATTGTTACGGTATTTTATATCAGGTAAGCGGACACGAAAAATTATAAATAAGGACAATCTAAACAAGTGCTATAAATATCGGAAAATATTATAAACATGTACAATATACGTCACAAGCGATTCTTAAGTTAGTCTTAATCATATCTCAAAAATGTTCCAAGGATAGCATAAAAATTTCTAAGATACGTCCTGAACACGTTACAAACATATCTCTAGAAACGTATTAAAAAATTCTAAAAATGTCCCAAGTATGTCATACAAACATTCTGGAGACATTTTAAGGAGGTGTGCCTTAATTGCGTGCGGAAATCCAGGTATGACTCTTTTTTATTGAATTGCGTCCCATTGGCTGTATATAGGGGCGATTGAATTCCATGCTAATCGGTTTTTGTCTAGGAGCTGATAATCACTGATAAACTAATCTCACCATATCTTCCTCTTTTCGAAATGTAAGCATCAAAATAAATTATTCGTATCAAAATCAGTTGGCATTCAACGCGCGTGTGTTTAATTATGTAGTTCTGTTTATTGGGTTCATTTTGTTGTGTATCTTGTTCTTATATAATCTGGAGACAGTCAATGTGATGATTAGAGAGAAGGTAAGTCTTTAACTGTTATTGAATGCTTCAAGCTTTCTTTTGAAAAAATATTTAAAAATGATGTACAACGATGGTCTTTTGTTAAAAAAATGTAAGGTATGTATTAAAGTAAATTCAGTGAGTAAATTCTTTGTAGACAAGAATTTTCTTTTCTTTAAAACGAAAAGCTGTTGATGATCCATCAGATCGTCCATCAAAAAATTTACGGCATAAAAGTACAAATTCACTTTAATTCATCCCTTATTATTGGGATCCCATGTCCCAGTGCCTACAAGGTAAATGCGTCCTCACCCAGTGGTCATAATTCTAATAAATCGTTTCTTGCTTTTAAAATTAAAATTTAAGTTAAAGTAAAATATGTAAGTTTTATAAAACGACAACTAAATGATTTATGTAATATGTTAAAAACTGAGATTGAAAATGTCACCCTTGAATTTTTTTTTAAATGTAAAAATAGAATTATATATAGAAATCGGAAAATTTTCTAACAACAAACTCTATAAAAAAATACAATTGGTTAAAAGAAAAATATTATGTTCAAAACAGCACAAAAAATGTTAACAGTAAATGGTTTAAAAATATTTCTAGTAAAGATATTTCGAATGATGCGTCCAATACTTTTTAAGCTTGGGCGAAAATTTTTATAGTGATGTTAAAAATAAGGATTCTTTCGTGGAGAATGCGGTTTCGATGATTGAAGAGAAAATTGTTTTGATTCCCGAAGAGAATAGAACAGTTTTTATAGATCCGATGTGACAAATAAATTAAATAACTTTTTAAATATTAAATTGAAAAGAATTTAAGTTTCAGGTATTGAACAAGTAGGTAAGAAAACTAATAAATTTCAAAAGAATAATAAATTGTAACATAATAGTTCAAAAGCAGATAAAGAGAGTGTTACTGTTTGCTTGGATAAGAATGAAAACATTGATAAAAGTGTATGTTGTTATTAAATTATACAACTACCTATCAAAAATTAAGGAAAGATCTTACAAATAGCATCCAAAGGAATATGAACAACTTGATTGGGGATCTTTTACTTAAGGGATATATAAATTGCCAAACATTAAAATCCCTTAAGAGCTATAATTCGGTTGCAACCAAGTTCTACGGGTTGCCTAAGATACATAAGAAAGGCGTACCCATGCGACCAGTAATATCATATTGTGACTCTTCATTGTCATCCTTATCCAAGTTTATCAGCATTCTAATACAAAAAGTAATTGGAAATACAAATGCTTACGTAAATATATAGTTTGGATTTTGTAGAAAAGATTAAGGATTATCATGATCCTGATAATTATCGTCTTATTTCTCTTGACGTCAAATCATTATTTACGAATATCCTTAAGGATAATTTTTGCATTGATAATTCCTATTGTGTTTTTCAGGGAGAATTTTGTAAATGAATTTTTGTGATTCCAGTTTACTATCGAGGAAGTGTGGAATAATTTGATTGCATTTTTGGACGTAAAAATTTATAGAGAAAACCATAGACGAATTGTTACAGAAAATCAACTTTTTAGGACGATATGTCAACTTTAATTCAGAAATTTGCGTAAAGGATAAAATTTCGATCGATCGATAAAATTTCGAACAGATACAAAGTCACCCTTCTGGACACGGAAATGTCTTTTTTCTAGAAACGTTCCTAAAACGTTTCTAAAACAAAGACGTTTATGTCCTCAGATGGACTTAATAACATTTATAGAAATTTAATTTTAAATACTAATAAGTTATAAATTTATAAGCATTTCTACATTATTTTATTAAAAAAAAAAATTATGCGAAAATGATGTTTTGAATCTTCTCATGAGAGTGTAACGCACTCTTTTGTTCCCTGTTTAAAGGTTGCATGAATAAAGTCTGTTTTATCGACCTAACACACTCTACTAATTCGTAACTGTAAAAAGTTTGCAAATCTTCATATATAGTTTTGTTGATATAAAATTAATTTGTTAAAAAATATTTACCAATAAACAATGACACGCGTTTAAGAATGGAATGCATTTAATAAAAATACCGGGGCGATCTGTGCTCAGTGTGTACTTTAAGGGTTAAAGCTCTGAAGAAGCTCTGCCTCGCGGAGAGAAAGCTCAGAATTTTTATATATAATTTTCATGAGCAGACGAATAAAAAAGGGGAAAATATAAATCTTGGACTAATTGTGAATTAATACTGATCAACAACTTTTACATCTTATTATTTAATATCCTAAAAATGTTCTAAAATGTCCAAGTTAACTTTTCATGTTCTTGGGGTATGAAAAATACGACGACAAGCGGCCCATAGGACGTTCTATGTCTGATCCAAAGACGTCTTTAAAATTTCTCTAGAATGTTCATAAGATATCCATGGACATATTTTAGGAGAAAATAAGAACATGTTTGTTAGGGCATGTTTGAGACGAACTTAGAGGACACTTTGGGGACGTATTGTGGACATATTTGAAAGATTTTTGGAACATGTTTAGAACGTCTTTTAGACATACTTAGGACATGTTTAGGATATTCTTGAGACATATTTAGAACATGTTTAGCACATGTTTAGAATATTGGCAGATTTTTTTCATGTTTTTAAAAATAAATGTGCAATAGAAGATCAGAAATATAATTTTAATATGATGACATACAAATTTCAATATGATGCCCTAAAATGTTCTCAGCCTGTCCTGAGAATGTCGAAAATATGGCCTAAAAATGTCCTTAGAGTGTCCTGAGAATGTCCTCAATGTGTCCTGAAAATGTCCCAAACATGTCCTCAAAATGTTATTAAAATTTCCTGAGAATGTCCCAAATACTTCCTGAAAATATCTATGTGGTATATTTGGACGTCTTCAGAACTAACTAAAAAAAAATTTGGTTTTATAGGGCTAGTATTGTTGGAAAATTTGTCAAGCATACCCACCTTTTTGTATTTAACAATTGCAACTCAGTCAAATTGTTTAGTAAATCTTCTTAAAATCTTTAAATGACGCCAGCCTTGTATGGTGGGTTGTCAAGATATAGGAGTTCCAACATTTATTTTCTACCATGCGAGCTAATATTCTAGATTATAATATACAATAAAAGTCAATAATTTGAATTATTTAGTTAAATCAAAAAAAAAAAAAAATTCAGCATTGAAAATCAAGAAAATAGAATTAATTTTGATATATCATATATAAAATAATAATAAAATTTGTGTACCATAATTAAATTTTAAACTGATGCGGTTAACGAATTTCCAATGAAACAGGTCTTCTCGATATTCCCAAATGGTTTTAGACTTTTCTCCCAAATTATTCACAAAATAAAGAAAAAAATAATTAATGAAAACTTTCTTCCCGCAATGATTTCACAAAAAGAATGAATGAAATATGGCGTTGTTTGTTTATCACCTAGGAAATTCGTTGTCAACGTAAAAACAAATGCATTATAAACTGTACAATTTCGGTAAATGTTTTTAAAACATACTATTCCGAGAAAAAAAGTTTTTTTTGCTTTTTTTCCAAGTTTGTCATCACTACTGCTAGACATAAAATAAGGTTATGCATTTTTAAAAAGAGGTTTCTTTCTTTCTTAAGAATACTCTTGTTCATCTTATCAATGTATTAATTCAAAATTTCTAATTTAAATTAATTGCTTGTTAATCATTAGAAATTCTTTAGTGCAACGATTTTATAGATCTTCATCGAAATGGTATGTTTTATAACAAACTTTTGAAATGGTATAGTTTATAACAAATTCTTGAAATGGTACAGTTTTCCACCTTTGAAATTGTATAGTTTATAACGAATTCTTGAAATGGTACAGTTTTCCACCAAGCCGACGATTTATTGTTTATTTTATTTAGGTAAGAAACATTTTGACAACAGAACAATTATATAGAAAACAAAAAAATGGCGTCACCGCGTCGTGTCAAGTCAAATGTTTGAAACTTTGTAAATTTTACAACGTCACAAAATAGGTACGACGTACGTATATAAAATATTTTTTTTATATTTTATTTAATTTTAAATTTAAATGAATATTACCATGCAATATTGGCAGAATATTCTCAAATGTTGTGCAAAACAGGTTTTAGATTAGAGTTTATCGGTCTGAAATACATAAATATGAAAGGATACAACGCTGTCCGCACTGTACAAAAACCAGCAATGGCGCTGCGTTCGTGAAAGTTTTCTTCTGCTGAGGAATATCAGTTCTCCTGTCCACTCAGATTGCGCTGTTTTAACTTGAGGAAAATGCATTTGCTTTCCCCAAATAGGAGAACTGCGCTTGCCCCTCGAGAATTAGCAGCCTACTTTCACATCAAGTCACACAGCCGATTCGCATTTAACTGAACTGCTCGACCGGTAGTTAAATCAGTTCTTTTTCTCTTCGTGTGGTCCCTGAACACAGACACCTGTTTATTGGGTCTACGCACTCAAGTGTTATTGAATATTATTTCTTCAAATAAACTTTACAATAAAAATTAGCAATTTTGACAAAATTCGAAGTAGATGAATTTATTTAATATAGAATATTTTATTTAGAGTAATAAAACGTAATTATAATAAAATTCTAAAAAAAAAGTCGTTAAAGAACAGAATGGCAAAAGATTGCATAAAATTATTGCCGACGAGTCATAATAAACATTTTTCTCCAGCATATATTACAATTGAATCATGCAAAATGAAGAATAACAATGTACTATGTTTTTCTCTATTATTGAGTGTAGTTGGAATTCCATGAGCGTCTGCTAGGATCCTTCTCGAAAGCATTTGCTTATAAATCGGATATGCACAATCACGTTTGAGAACCACACGCCTGACGAACTAAACGTGAATGTGGTTGATACTTGAAGGCGAAGATGCCTTTGCCATTCTATCGAGAGGCACGACTGTAAACCGTTCCTCGTGTACATTCCAAGCGGGAATTCTCTAAAGCCAGTTTTGTATGGACATAGCCAGTGGACGCGCGCACTTTCAAGTTCTACAGCATGTCTTTCTCGTGCTCTCTTTCTCACATACATACCTGCGTTAGTTGAATTTACACTTTATCAATATTTTTCTTCGTTAATTTCGTCTAAACTTTTGGCAAAATAAAAATATTCTTTAAATAAAAATTAACTTCAAAAGGAATAAATTATTAATTCTACTTATTACTATTTGTCCTGATTAAAAACATTTGTTATTGTTGATATTATTTTTATTATTAACTAATTATTTATTATTATTAAACATATAATTAGAGAGTTGTATTTTTTAATTAATAAAATATGTTTTTTTCATTTGATTTAGAAAAAAGTATCGAGTTGAATTTATGTAATGCTATTTAATGGGATATGCAGTAGGAGTATTTACATTCCTAAGGTGCGGCAGTGAAAAAAAAGTTAAAAGTGTAGAAATTTCTAAATAATTTGAAAAGTGATTTTTTCCTAAATCTCACGGATTAATATACACAATTTTGAAAGGATAAATTATTGCTCTTCTTTATAACCTTGTAAGTAAGGATTTCGGGAAAATTGCAAAGAGTACGAAACTAATATACTTACAATAATAATATTATTAATAATTATAAGGTTTAATGATAATAATATAATAATAATAATATAATAATAATATAATAATAATATAATAATAATATAATAAAAATAATAATATAACAACAATAATATAATAATGTAGCTAACATAACTAATTCATGTAACTAGTACGAAAATACTTCTTTCTATATTATACCCAAGTTATGTAACTTTATTTTCATTATTTATATATTTCAACTAATTTTTCCTTCCTTATTGCTTTTTATTTTAAATTTGTGACATGTAATCAATTTGTTAATAAATAAAAATCCATTCTTGAATTTGTTTATTTAAATTTAGTATAAAAAAACAAAATTCAAATACCTTTTTTTAAAAAATTGAGTACAGTTATACTTTCAAATAATAGATTTCGAATCATAGCAATTAATTCAATCGTTGAATATTTAAATATGATAAAGCTCTTTGAGAATTTCTATTTTTGTAGATTTATATTTTCTTCTTTTCAATATGGGAGAAAAGAATTTATGGTCATCGATAATGAAATAATGTTTTTGTATAATTAACTTATTAAATTATGATGATTTTGTGAATTTTCAAAATGTTCATCATCATAAAATGTAATTAACACACATTTATCACACTAAATGATAAGATAAAATATATTATTCAATTTATATTTAATAATCTTTTTAAATTTTCATGTAATATAATGTACATAATATGAAATTTGAAGCATAATTATTATTTTGTATATTGCAATAATTTTATTTACGGAACTTGTTGCGTGTTTTTTTTCAATATTGACAGTAAATTTCAGCAATATTTTTTCACGCTATTTATTTCAAAATCGTAAAAGTGCACATTCCTTTCTTTATAAATAAGCACGCAATATATTTCGCGTTTTAAAGAGAAAATTAATGATTTACTTTCTGAAAATAAATAATACAAATAAAGCGCATGATAGACGTATTATTTTGTCAAGAAAAAAATATTTTTAGTACATACAGCAGTGGAATAAAAATGCGGAATGTTCCCATTTATTTATGTGAAAGTACTATACATATTTTAAGCAGTGGAAAAAGTTGATAACGGTCCCGGTCAATATATTGGTCGGAAAAAGACGAATAAATTTCAGACTAAATCGTAGGATTTGTTGACAATTACTTTAACAAAAAATGGTACTTTGCTAAAGTGATTGTTTGCATATTATCTCTGTAAAATGTGCAAAAAAATTGTTCGATTTTGGTTTCTTGCATATATTATTTTAAATATTTTGCAATTTACTTTTTAAATATTTTACTTGAGTTCTTTGGGGTCGCTGTAAACAAGGAGGTCACAGTATTAAAATTCAAAATGGCGGATCTAATATGGCCTACAATTAACCGGTGCATTTCTCAAAGTTGATCACTTATGTAATTAATGTAGTACTTTTTTAAAAAAAAACATTATATTATATATTCATTTTAACGGTGATTTGTAGTTTCAGTATTAAAATTAAAAAAAACAGTAAGACAAGCAATAAATTTTAATTATTTTACTGTATTATGTACATGGGCAAACTTCATATTTTTCAAAGGACATTCTTGAAATTAATTTTATTAGCTTTAGAATAATAGATAAAACAAATGAAAAAAAATTTTGCGTCACTCACTTTTACGCATATTGTTAGTTTATATTCGTAACGTAACGTTATCCGTCAGAAATAAAATTAGCTCTATAATAATAAATTTTCATTAAAAAGAATAAAATGTTTTATTTGTGGACTAATTTTTAGAACCTGCTAGAAAAAATTCGAGAAAAGTTAAAATAAAGTAAATAAGTAAATAATTAAAGCAGGAAAGATGATTAGGAAAAAGAGTTTTTAAACTTTCTATTAAAATTTTTTAAAAACAAAAATCAAATTTGTAATTGAAAGCACAAAAAACATGTAAATAATAATTTATTATTAAAATCTTTTATAAATAAATAGATATTTATCAATTTTTTCAGGGTTGACACAAAAAATTAATTTTGTTTTTCCCTGATTTCCAGACAAAATTTTGACTTTTTCCTTGACCCTAAAGAATATTCTGATTCACTCCTATACATTATTAGATACTCAAAAAAATGTACTATTACATTTAACGAAATTTCGATTATTCGGAAATTCTTGAATTAAATATAGAAAATAAAAACTTCAAATAATTTCAAAAATTAATTCAATTAAACTTTTTCAAAAAAATTAATTCTACAGAATTAATAGTTAAAAGTGTGAAAAATTCAGATTTTCAAAGACTCTAATTTAAAACTTTTTCAAAACTCAATTATTTCTAAAAAGTCATACTATAATGCTTTTAATAATCAATTATTAAAAATTTTATCTAAAATTAATTTTTAAATCAATTTTTATTGTAAAATTCTACGTAAATTTAATTATTTAAGCAGATAAATAAGTAATTTTTTGATTACTTATTTATATTGAATTCTCATAAAGAATTTTATCAACAAATTTTTAAATAATTGAATTCTTTCGACGAATTTTAAAAAAATTTGTTAGAATAATTACATTATTCGAGGAATTCTATTAAAATTGTATTAAAAATAATTGAAATTCTGCTATGAGTTTTATTATTTATGAAAATAATTGAATTCTTGCAAAGAATTTTATTATTAACTTTAAAAAAAATAATTCAATTCCTGTAATAAACTCGCAGAAATTGTATTATTTTCAAACATTTTAATAAAATTCTTAGCATAAATGTAAAATAACAAAATTCTTCTCAGATCTTTAATTATTTTCAAAGATTTGAATAAAATTTTTCGTAAGAATTTAAATATTTTCGTTAAATAATAAAAATCTTTGTAGAAATTTAATTATTTGGAAAATCTTAATAAAATTCTTCACAAGAATTGAATTATTTTTATAAATATCAAAAATTTCACAGAAATGTAAACATTTTCAAAAGTTTTGATAAAAATTTTTTTCGCAGGAATTCAATTATTTTTTTATAAATATCAAAAATTTCACAGAAATTTAAACATTTTCAAAAGTTTTGATAAAACTTTTTTTCGCAGGAATTCAATTATTTTTAATGCAATTTTTAAAAAAAATTTCTCGATAAGATTAATTTATTTTTAAAATTTCAATGAAATTTCTTTGAAAGAATTAATTTATTTTTAAGAATTTTGATGCAATTCTTTATAAGAATTAAATAATTTTCAATATAATTTGAATTGAATTTCATGAAAGAATTAAAAAATTTTGAAATAATTGAAAATAATTGAATTTTTGGGAAGAATTTGAGAAAAAAGTTTTTGAATAATACTGAATTCTGATGAAAAATTATATTATTTGTCAAAATAATTGACTTCTTGCATAATGAATTTTATATTACTTAAAATTTTACATAAATTTATGATAATAACAATTAAAAGTCAGTTTTTGGATCGCGTAATATAATTTGTGTTTTGAGGTTTAGAAGAAAAACCTAAAAACACAAATAACAATTAAAGTCTTTCGTGGAATTTAATTAAAATTGCATTTTTATAAAGAATTTTATTTAAACTTTTAAAAATAATTTAAATCTTTAGAGAAGTTTTATTGAAATTGTTTTCAGAATTTAATAACATTTTTGGGAAGAATTTTATTATTTATGAAAATAATGGAATTAATTGCAAAGAAATTTATAAAATATATATTTGTATAAATAATTGAATTCTTTTGGAATTTTTATTATTTATGAAAATAATTAAATGTTTTGCGTAGAATTTTATAAAAATTTTGTTTGAATAATTTAATAATTCATTTATTTATGAAAATTATAAATGCAACTTTTTTAAAATTCAATTAATAGTTTATGAGACAAACAAGAAAGACACAAAAATTCCGAATTTTCTTATGAATTCTAAAAATTAAATTCTTTTTAGTACTTATATTAAAATTCCCTGATTTATAAACATTTTATTGTCAGTCTTTTTTTCGACCTGCAATTCAAAGTTTTTGAAAACTAAATTTAGATTAAAAATCAGACATAATAAACATAAATAACTAATTTTAAGGAAATTCGTGAGTTTATTAGGTACTTCTTTCTCGTTACTGACTATATGCATAATAATAGAAGCTCATTATTTTTATTACTTTATACACTTTCTATGGACAGTGTAAAAGTTAATGATTCTCCTTCTTTTATATGGTACGGAAAAAATATCATAATAAGTTTAAAATATTTGGAAGCTAAAATCAAGGTGTGCTATTCAAAAATAAGGTTTTTTGAAATGAGTTACATTCAGAATTTTAATCTCTGACGTCATTGTACTCTTTATCAATGTGTGACACACATTCTTTGAAGCTTTCAAATTACTTCTTATTGTATGTATATATATTAAAATGGGTCCTCTTTGTATGGTTTCTTAAACACTAAATTTTAAAAAAGTTATCTTAAGTTGATTGTTAAATATTTAAATCGTAAAAGAATTAAAGAATTTGTCGCGCAGGTCTGAAAGCATATAATTTTTTTTCTAGCTGAGGCACATCATTGTCCCAAGAATTTTTCCGTTGCTTACACTCTCAAATAGTTCTACTGAAAGTAACAAACCATAAAAGAATGTTAAAAATGTTAAAAAATGTTATAATGCTTAAACTGAAAAAATATAGTCAGTGTCACACACAAGTTAATAAGCAAATTTATCGCTTTTATTTAGTCCCATTGTTTTCTAAATAATTATGATAATTATTTGACGCATAGAACATGTAAAACAGACAAAAATTCGTTTAAATGTTGTGTTGCAAAATTATTTGTACAGATTTTAAGGTATCACACGACCAACAATATAAAGTCTAATAGTTCTAGAAAAATGTTTGTGTATTAAATGAATTTTATTATTTAAAAAGAGTTTTTATTATTATTTATATTTATTAGACACAGTCAATGAAATGTGGTTTTTTAATGTTTAATACGATTTCATGCTACTTTCCTAA